CCCATTGGGTGCTGCAGCGATTCGCGCACCGTACACTGAACCCAGCAACTAACATTCAGTAAAATGTTTGTTTGTTTGTTTTAATCATGCCACTGTTGGCACCTTCTGAACGGCTGAACGTCTGCACCGGGCTTGTGGGACCGGCACGGTGGAGCGAGCCGTTTCCACTTCCCCCTCTCCTCGTGGCGGCGGCGGCGGCGGCGGCGGCTTGGACACGCAAGATGTTCAACGTCTGTCAATTGCTTCTATCCTTCCAACAGCTGGAGGCTTGCCACTTGAATGTCATCGAAGGCTTTTGTTTTCACGGCTCTAATTAACGTCAGCTCATTATCCCGCTCAAGACAACCCATTTGCATACCTGCCTTAAACCACACAGATTCAAAAACAAAATAAACGAAATGGATAACGGGCACGCTAAACACAAGGCCTTGGCCCCACAGGCTTGCCCAGGACATTTTGTCACCTGGAAGTCGCGGCGACGATTTGCGCTCCTCCGCTCTGCTCACATCACCTGCCGTGTCGCGAACGGACCAGGCGCGAGACTGATGGGGGTCAGGGGCTGTGAGCGAACACCTCTTTGAAGCCGGAGCGGCACACGAATGGGGTGGGTGGGGGGGGGGGGGTGTGCCGAGAATGGTCTCCAGCCACCCATAAGTGGCCGCGATGATGGGACACAAACCCAAATGCCGCGCGTGCGTGGTCACATAATAAATGTATTGTTGCACGCCCGACTAAAATGCACGTATGGTGAGGTTCACAATCAATATTAAACAGATCAATCGATAACGTCGGTACAACACCACCCCACAGAGTTGCAGTCGTGGTGGAGTATGGGAAGGTACACGGTGTCCGCAGCTGCTCGTTACTTGTCCTTGCACATGAAGAGCATGGTTCTTCTTGGTTCTTTCGGTAAAGTCACGTAGAATAAAATTAAAATTAATTTTAAATTAATTATAATAAAATTAAAATTAATTTTAAAATTAAAATTAATTTTATTATGTTTTATTTTTATTATTTTATTACTTCCCTTCTACGTGACTTTACCGAAAGAACCAAGAAGTTGAATCCCTGCAGTCACGAAAGCTTTAAATCAAAATTTAAGAGCATTGTTGTGTCGAGCAGACAGGCACACAACGATTACTCTCGGCTTGAGACCGAGCGTGCACGCTGGGACCAAATGAACATCTCGCGGTACGCTCACGCCGAGGAGATCTCCCCGTGCGTGCGTGAACGTGTTGGCGGTAGGGGAGGTCGGCCCCAAACCGCCATCCATCCATCACAAACGCGCCCCCGTTGGCAGCGCGATCTCGCAGCCCAAGCCATCGCCGCACGCCTTGCCCAGCAGAGACATCGCCGCTTTAAATGCAGATAATGGTCACTTCCCTGCCAGAGCGGTTGGCCCCGAAGAAGGTGATGAAGCAGCCGATTTGCAGCGACAAGTGCGTGACAGGCGCGCGCAGTCGAGCGGCGACTTTTCTGGAGCGAGATCGCCCGCACCAGGGGGTGCCGAGCCGCCGATCGTTCCCGTGCCAGGCAGTGGAACCCATCGCGAGAGCCGCCACGCATTCTCGCCGCTTGCGTGGCGTGGAGAGAAGGAACGCGACCCAAGACTCACAAAAACACGTTCCCCATTCCTGGCGACGACTTCGCCGTAGAGCGAGCGTCTCGCAATGGGAGAGTTGCGAGTTCGAATCCTGGTTGGGGGGGGTTTGACTGCGTCATATAGATGGACTCACCTCGGCCACAGGAACGTGTAATTTCCCACCACTGGCTCAGGGCTGTGAAGAAGAGGTGTGCGACCCACCTCGAGGCTCATTCGAGCAGGAAATCCGTTTGGACTTCATTTCTATCGTACGATAATTCTTATTAGAATAATAATGATCAATATTGAACAAGCTCACAAAGGGCGGCCGCAACAGCAGTTGGTGGGACACGTTGGGAAAACGAGCCGGACCACACCGGACCCCGTGCTCGACGACATAGACGTGGAGCAGAGGAAGAGACATCCTGGTGTCCTAGCCGCAGGGTTCAGCAATCGAGAAGTGAATGAGATTGAGCAAATTTCGATTTAAAGCTTTCGTGACTGCAGGGATTCATCTTTTGGGTTCTTTCGGTAAAGTCACGTAGAAGGGAAGTAATACAATAATAAAAATAAAACATAATAAAATAAAATAATTCTCACGACGTTTCGGCTACAACGCAAGAAGGCTGCTTGCGTTGTAGCCGAAACGTCGTGAGAATTATTTTATTTTATTATGTTTTATTTTTATTATTTTATTACTTCCCTTCTACGTGACTTTACCGAAAGAACCAAGAAGATGAGAATGAGCAAAGCAAGAAGAGGAACTCAAGGAGACGGACCATGGCAGACGACGACGACGACAGCTCCTCATCGCCAATGAGCCGATGGAAGGGGCAGATGACGATGACGACAGTGGAAGTCTACACGGGTAACAGAAGTAGCGATATCCAAACCGGGCCCTGCACCCCGTACCTCTCGCTCCCCACGCCTCCACCCACCCATCCCGCACTTCCCAGCGCAGTGAAGTATGGTCAAACTACCCCCACGAGCGCCGTTGTGCGGAGAAGTCCCTTTATCCGGCAGTGCATTTGGAAAAAAGAGCCCGTCGTTATTTTGTTTCTTGCATTGTTATGTAATTTAATCTTCCCCAACCAGGTCGCTTTGGTTGCAATGCAAAAGGGTTGCGCCGTTCTCAGACTCCGCTGAGACGCTTCTTTGTCTCTCCGCAGAGGCCGTAATCGGTGTGAATGAGCACCACAGACAGCGGAGCACTTTACGCGCGCCTTATTGCAATTAAAATCACTCCACGGCTCCCACCTGACAAGACAACATTTCAAAATCGGCACGGCGTATTGTCTAAAGTTTGCGTCGTTCCGCGATGGCAGCAGGCGATTGGAGATAATGGCACTAATGGCACTTCCGTTGCTTCATCTTTTTTTTCACGAATTGATTATCTCTGACATTTCAGTTCAAATATACTCGTCCCGCACACAAATACACTCAAGGGCCCGCTGCCGAGAATTGACGGCTCGAGCAAATGGCATTTGAGAGAAGACAAGATTGCACGAAACAAAGTATCACCGCATTCCCTATTCGACTTCCTGCGCTGCTGGACAAGGAAGAATTTGGCGAGCGAACCTGCAGCGTGGGACATTGGCCGAGAAAAAAAAATTAATCAAATCTGGAGGAGGATATAGAGAGCAGCAGTGAGAAGTGTACGCTTACTAAACGCACCCAGAGGAAATAAGTGGACCCGCGTGGATTAGAAAACACGCAGGTTCGAGACATCAATTTGACTCCAAAGTGGGCTTGAGCAGGATGGGTTGCTGTCAGTCTCGGCCAGTGGTCGAGACTGGTGACAGAGCGGCAGCTAAAGGAGCGAACACACTCGAGGGGACGTCCACCACGGAGATGGAGTAATGAAATCAACTCGTGGATAATTATTGCATCGCGAGACCGAGAGACATGGCGGTGGTGCGGAGAGTCATCATCCAGAAGATCGTGGCTGATGGTGACCGTGAGCAAACAGTTAATCTCCAGCATCAGGATGGCAGCAGGACACGAAGATGTGCCCTCCCTTCGAACAATTTTCAGCATTTTTTGGCACCAAACGCGCGGTTAATTCCTCATTGGCCGTAAAAGTTACTCAAAATTATTTTGGTGAAATCCGTGCAACGCTTTTTTCCCCCCAAGAAAAGGTGGTGGCAACGTTTTCATGGGCAAATTTGGCAAACAAACCTAGACCCGCATCTTGAGAGATCTTTAAAAAAATCACGCTGCTGCATTTCAAGAACCGTACGTATGTAGAACTTCTCTCACCGTACGTAGCCTAACCACACTAAAATCGGAGGTGCGGGGGAAGGTCAAACTAAAAAACGCAAAAAGCAGTTAAAAAATTAGTTGTTAAATTTAGATTTAAAAGTGCATGGCTGCAGTGACTGCCAGCCTTTTGGCAGCCGTGCCTCTTGTTGGTTCCCCAACCTCCATCTCCCACGCCAGCAGACGGTCACCTTCATGGGAGTCCAAGGGAGACCATCTGCAAAGCCAGAACCAACTCGGCAACTGTCTATGGTAAAAAAAAGAAAATCAGGAACTAACATTGAGCCAATTAATGCAATTCGCGACTACGTTTTTGTGTTAACACCGTGTCTTGTCGTGCAAGGCTATAGAGAATGCGCTACGTTTCCCTCCCCGCTTATACAATCCGGGGGGGACTCCCCACCCATATGTTAAATACCCCCCCCCCCGCCTCCCCCCCCCCCCCAGTTTATATCATGTAAAATGAGACAATATTTACTCTCTCACCCCCTACTTCCCCAGATTGTCTGTCCCCCCCCGCCCACCTCCTCAACCAGGACGCGTCAGTTACATGATGGGGCCTGGTGGATATTCGCGTGCGGTTGTTTTTGGTTGTCGCCCAACGTTCTGTAGCGGGCGGAACTTTGTTCTTGTGTACGGCAAAAATCGGATATAAATGTTTCACACGTGTAGTCTGTTAGGGGCGTTACTATTGTAATAAAGGACTCTTGCACTGGGTCTGTCTCCGTTGTCCTTCATTGTGGTTCGTACAACTTTGCCCGCACGGCGTCTCGCTCAGAGTCTCCTCCGTCTCCCGCTCGGCAGCCCCACTGCTGCCGTCGCTCCTGCAGACTTGCTGCTGGCTCACTATGCAGCCCCGCTGCTGGCTCTTCCCTCAGCCTCTCTGTCCCCGACCTGCAGCCCCCCCGGCTGCTCTCTATGCAGCCCCGCTGCTGACTCTCCGCCTCCTCCGTGCCCGGACACCGCTGGCCAACGGTGCCGAGTGCCGACCTGTGGCGATCACGCCACTTTCCACCTCCTGCCCTGCGTGGCCTCATCCTGTCTTTATTCCCACACGCTCCTCCAGCCCTTCCGGTTCCTGCCCTTAAAAACTCTCCTCTCTCCCCACGTGACCCAACTCCTCCCACCTGTTACGTCATATCCGCGAGGCCGTTTACGCTCGCATTACACTATTAAGAGGGGGGAAGGGGGGCATGTGGCCATGTAGAATCCCAATTCGGTTACATTTTGCGAGAACAATTTCTCTCAATACGGTTCATTTGAGAGCATGACAGCCGGTCCAAAACGGCCGCCACTTTTTTCCCAAAATGCCATTAAACGAGTCTTCGATTCACCTGCAGGGTTAACCCGGGGCGGTCCTGCCATATTTGAGCAGTGAACGTTTGCAACAAGCGACAAACGTGCTACTACTGGGTTACGGTCAAATTAATTTTTTTGCCTTTTAACATTTATTTTCACGGGAGACGGTGGATTGTGCTCTCCAGGTGAGGGGGGACAAGCTGCCCTTAGTGGAGGAGTTGAAGTACCTCCGCGTCTCTTTCACGAGTGATGGTAAGTGGGAGTTATCAAACAAAGCTCTCTGTTTACAGGTCGATCTTCGTCCCCGCCCTTACCCATGATCATGAGCTTTGGGTAATGACCGAAAGGATGAGATCGCGGGGTTACAAGGGGCCGAAATGAGGTTTCTCCTCAGGTTTGCCGGGCTCGCTGTCCGCGATCGGGTGAGGAACTCGGTAATCTGGGAGAGCCTCAGAGTCGAGCCGCTGCTCCTCCGGATGGAGAGGAGCCAGTTGAGGTGTGGTTCAGGCACCCGGTAAGGATGCCCCCCCCCACCCCCGGTTGACTCCCCCTGGAACTCTACCCGGGCAGCAGCAGCAGCAGCACGTGCCACTGGGCGAAGACCCCGGGGCCGGCCTAGGTCACGCTGGCAGGACGATGTCGCTCGGCTGGCCTGGCAACGCCTGGGAATTCACCAGGAAGTGCCGGAGTCCGTCGCCAGGAGAAAAGGTGTGGACTACTCTACTCAACATGCTGTCACCGCGACCCTCACCAGGACAAGCGATTGAGAAACGAAGTTTTTTTTCTTCTTGGTTCTTTCGATAAAGTCACGTAGAAAGGAAATAATAAAATAATAAAAAATTCAACAATTATAAAATAATTATGTTTTATCTTTATTATTTTATTAAAATAATAAAATTAAATGCAACATAATAATAAAATTATGTTTTATTTTTATCATTTTATTATTTCCCTTCTACGTGACTTTACTGAAAGAACCACGAAGATAAATCCCTGCAGTCACGAAAGCTTTAAATCGAAACGAAGTTTTGTTATTTAAAACAATCTATCTTTCAGCAATCGGCATTGACCAACTAGGTGAAGTATGGTCGAATAACTCTCACAACCCACACGACATGGGATGGCCCTAATCCAGCAGCACATTGCCAAAAAAGGACTGTACAATGAGATTTTATTTGTATAACATATAAATAAACTAAAAAGCATCTCAAAATGCTGGACAGGGCAGCTGTGTAAACAGCGAATTCAAACAATAAACACAGAAATACATCAACGCAAAAACACGCGTTCGGGCAGATTGAGCAGCCGTGTGGCATTTTACAATCTGACATTGTAATCATGCCACGTATATCCTCCGCAATGTCATGCGAGGCTCAAGAGTTGTCCACGAAAAACCCTGCACTGAGATTTTTTACAAATTCCATATTAATGAGAGTTTAGCTTCAGGTGGAAGGACAATCGAGTTACCGGGAGGAAATGTGTGCATATATCAGAGATTAATGCTCAGTGGTTTTACACAGACAGATTAAACCATCTATTGCAGTCTAAGCCTATAACACCTGGCATCCCTGGGCAGCTTCTCACTTAACTAATGACCGAGCTCAACTCTGCTTAGCTTCTGAGAATCCTACGAGAGCGGGCACAGTCTGGACAAATTGGTCATAGGCCACGCTAATGAAAAACACAGTTACCGAAAATGTTCTCCTGTCAACTACAAACAATGACTGATTAAAAGCAAAACAAAATATTCAGGGACACGTTCCGTTGTCAAATTGGTTATGCAAGCGCTCAAATTCAGTACACGTCACTTCCATTAAAGCGCTTGTAGAAATGATTTACCACTGCCTGGATACTAAACTGTTCAAAAGTTGATTTAGAAGCGAGTGTGTTTTTGTGAGAGTTTTTTTATTCCGAGGAGGCACTTGCAAGCTTTAAAATCGTGAGACAAAAAAAACTCATTCATCACGGGAGAGGGGGGGGGGTTTACGCGTCGAGAGACGATCAATCAGCGCCCACCCCCCCCCCCCCCCCCCCCCCCCGAGACACGCCACACAAAACTGGCACCGTTGACGGCTCCATTAAAAAAGGGGGGGGGGCGCTCTGGTCCCCCACCCGCGTGCCAGCCGAGTGCTGCCTGCGAATCGGCGGCACTCCGCGAGCCATTTCAACGCCCAATATGGCAGTGCATTGACCACGGTTGGTGAGAATTCAGCCGTGCACCCATCCTATGCAGACACTCACTTGGACTGCGCAGAAGCAAACGTAACTCTGTAAACCAAATAGACTTGTAGCCAGCACCTGATGGTGCACACCTGTGGTCCGGCGCTTTTGGAGGCCAATACTGGCGGATGACACATATCTGTGAAATTCCCAACATCACACGATATTCATGAAACACCACAGCGAGGTGGGGCTACAAGCAAGCAGTGCTGCAAATTGACCCTTCAATCCAACGAAACGACCAACATTTACAGTGTTGCAGGAACTGACCAAAAAAAACAACATACCGATGTTCCCAGCGCCTCGCAAGCAGAAGGTTGCCAGTTCCAAATCCTGGGTCGATATCGACTCAGGCCACCATCACCCTCTGGGCTCGTTGAGATTAGTAGAACTTCATGGGAAAAGTCAAAAATTAGGTTGGTTGTCCTTTGGAAAGACTCATTCCCCGTAACAATCGGAATGTGTAAATTGGCTCCACCACTTCCCCCGAGGCCAAATCCCATGCACGATAATGATTCGCAACAACCAGCGCAATACGATAATAACTGCAACTACAGTTTTCCAGAGGTCACCAAACACTGCGAGAGCTCCCACCACCCTCTTCTCTCAATAATTAACAATACATTGGACCGAGTTAAGGAGAGACGGGTGCAGTTCTGGCAGCGCATTTAACTCACAATTAGAAAGGTGCAAGGGTTCAAATCAGCCGGAGGGGGGGGGGGGGGGGGTGAATCATCATTCGATAATAAAAGGAGTCCAAGTTTGTTTGTTTTTGTTGCGATGGGATCTGATTTGTGCTCTGGGCATCACGTCATGATGGGAACGTCCGTTCGGTTCTCAGAACAGCGTCAACCCCGCCGTGCACTCGAGAACGACCCGTGGAAGCAGACATTACAGAACTATTGCGGGGATCCCCCTTGATCAGGCGACGTTTTTATCCACTTTCCCCAAATGCCCTGCTGCAGGAGAAAGCTCGCTGCATGGCACTCACATTGAAGGGTTGGAATTTGCCGAAGTGAAAATAACATTTTTTTAAAAAGGCAGCACTAGGAACGGATGGCTGTACTGCACTGATGATACCTAGGCAAGCATTCATCATCCAGTAAACAATTATCTCATGGACTTTAGACTGAAATCAAATGGCTACAATATTGACTTTTGAATTAGACGTCTAACACGAGATTGCATTAAATACCCTGCTTGGTCCCGACATGTTGACATGCGAGGCACGATGGGAAGGCCCATCCGATGGTCACAACCAGCACACATGTTGCTGTTGATGTCGCCTCTTCATTGCCGTATTACTAATTTAAGTGATTTCCAGCTGCCCAAAGAGTTTCTTGTCGTTTGCATGAAAAGTATCCGAATTCGGTAAGCCACCAGTGGCTTCCCTATTAGAAAAAAAGTCAGGCGCCCGTCATGTAAATGTGGAATTTCCATCGCCAGCTCACGGCCACCAATGGAGGATGAGACAAGTGTTGGCCGAATCCTCGCTCGCTCGCCTGCCTGCGAAGACCGAGCTTATTTTTAAATCCTTTATATTAAGTTCGCTTGCTTTCTTAGGACCGTGCAAATCTTTCGGTCGTTTTTTAACCCACTTCCCGTGATCCAATCGAGCTGACATTTTCCACACAGACTCGTTGTGCGTGACAATTAATGTTCGTGAAAAAAAATTTCCAAAATGTTACACTTTTTAGGACAAAAATATTATATTTAATTACCAATTGCTTAATGGTGCAATGCAATCATCTGACCCATAGGTGGCAGCCATCTCAAGCCAGAGGACGAGAGGACTCTCGCCGCCACGCATATAAAGGATTTATAGTGAAAAACTTTGTTTTTACGGGTTATACTTATTATTTGCGTGAGCCCAGCGTCCATAGACACGAGCATCGAACGCAGAAGCCTATCGCAAACTCCGTGTAGTCGGGCGGCGTTAATTTATTGGCGAGTGCACGCCGTCCGCAAAAACACTATCGATTTTGATTACGCAGCTCAGACTGCCACCGCTACCTGCCAATAACCTCATGCCAGTTGGGCCCCGAGCCTCTTCGCCAACATCGCAACGCAGCCGACACGTCCAATGAAATAAACACAATGTCAATAAATACACATTAGCGTCTTACGCGTTACTTCAAGCCAGACACTGCTGACAGATGGTTTGGGATTAGTGATATTGTCCAACACGCGGGGTTGGGTTTACTGTGAGCAGCTGGTCAGCCAGATATGAAAATTGAAAAAAGCTTTTCTTGGAGGATTTATATCAAAATAAATTGTAACGTAAGACACGTTTAAAATATGTTCACTCGCATGTTCCGTCGATTCTTAAAGTTTATTTTGGTTTTTATTCTGTCGATATGCCTTCTCTAACAAATGGGCGAATTCAATTATTCTGCGTTTTATATCACAATCATTTAGATCAACATCATCAGCCAGAATCAATAACCTCTTCGAAGACCTCCTTCCTCGCCATCGCCACCACTCCACAATCCTTTATACGTTAACAATCCATCTCGCACCTGCACACGTGCCACATTCACCTTCTCACAAACGTTCCCCTCTCTTGGCTGCCAACTCATTGTGGTGATTAATTGCTCGCAATAAAAATTAATTGTTTGCCTTGAAATTCCTAAACTGCTCGAAAATATAATTGTGAATCACGACTTGTGCAGGGACACACTGGTGGAGTCTTAATTTTAGAACTTTCGTGACTGCAGGAATTATTATTTGGTTCTTTCGGTTAAGTCACGTCTAAAGATAAAATAATAAATTAAATAATAGCATATTACGACGTTTCGATTGCAACACAAGCAATCATCATCAGGTTTAATGAAATAGCGACATAAAATCTAAACAGAAAACACTGGTGGAGCGCACTGTGCCAACTTGTGTGTACATTGAACTTCTTCCGCAACGTACGTAGCCACCCGTGCTAGAATCGGAGGTGCGGGGGAAGGACAACAAACCAAACACAAAAAGCTTCTCTGGGAGTTGATGTCCACCGCACCGGGCTCCTCTTTAGGCAAAAAGTTTCAGGGGCTCGGGATTTTTTCGGGTCCTTGGCCCTCAAAAGATTTGAAACGCTCCGCCCCAAGAAACGCGGCACGCTTATGACCCAACGGGCCTGACCGCAGGGATTCTCCCATTTAGAATGAAACTACAAAAACACGTAGTTTATCTCTTACAATGTTAACTATTGTTTTATATTTGTATTATTTTATTATTTCCCTTCTACGTGACTTTACCGAAAGAAACAAGAATATGAATCCCTGCAGTCACGAAAGCTTTAAATAAAAAAAGTATGTTAACTAGGTTTTATTTTTCTCTCCCAATTTCTGTACGGCGCTCTAAAGCCCTTTATTTGGATCTGCTGGCGTCTTAGACAAAATCTTAAATTATAATATCTCCGATGAGAGGCGGGGACCTCCTGCGCCGCGTCAGTGCTCTCTCGGGATGCCACCTTGGCAGGGGACACGCGACACCACCGTAGCAAAGGACATACACGAGCCTCGGGTCGTGCCTGCTGGGTCACAATCGTGCAGCCCTCATCTTGACCACGCAGCTCACCCGCAGCCAGACGACGACTCGGACCTCAACTCGGCTTGACCGGGACCTCGAATGGGACCTCAACTGGGCTTGACCGGGACCTCAACTCGGCTTGACTGGGACCTCAAATGGGACCTCAACTCGGCTTGACCGGGACCTCAACTGGGTTTGACTGGGGACCTCGAATGGGAGCTCAACTGGGCTTGACCAGGACCTCAACTGGGCTCGCTTTGCTCCCTCCCCCCTCCCTTCCCTCTGGAACTCCATTCCCCAGGCGAATTCACCCAACCCCCTCCGCTTCAAAATCTCTCCTCATTCTTCCTTTAAATCTCCATGACCTTCACAGATCCCCTTAAAAATGCCCACCTCTTCCCCTTAACTTGCTCAGTCCCTCCTGTCCCCCCCCCCCCCCCCCATATCTCCACGCTCCGAGACTTATGTTAGGGATACGGCACATTGTAATGCGGAACCTGTCGTCGCCTGTAACCAACGCGAGTTGGACAATGCAGTTCTATACCTCGACGACAATGACGATGCCGCCGCCTTTCAGAGAAGCCGGGAGATTCTCTGTAACGAAGCCCTGGGGGAAACCTTATCAACAGCCGTTACCACGTTAATTAAAACGAAGCACCGAGGGAGGGGAGGATGCGTCTCCTCTGGGTACAGATCTCGCGGAGTAAACGCCGCCGATTACGGAAAAGCAGACGGAGCCACCGAAATACACCGATCGCTCGTTAAAAACGGAGCTTCAAAATCACCACCACCCCCTCCCCCCCCACGCAAACAGCAATGCTACCCTGATACTCTTCTCTGGTCGGTCAATAATCGTCCATCAACCCGAATTGCACGCAACACCGATCCAAACACCTCTGCTCGGCCCGTGCCACACCAACAACTTTTTGAAAACCTCAAGGGCTGTGCAACACTGCTCAAGTCGGTGCGTTCGAGACCTGCGAGCTGCGAGGTTGTGACCCCGACCGCCCCCCCCCCCCCGCCCCCCCCACCTTCACCTCGCTCGGCCAGTGACATGACCCCAACGAGGCTGCAACCTCGGGCAAGCCCGGTGTGGGCCGGTTGGCCAAACCTTGCGAGTTGAGGCTCATCTCCCTTTGCTTCCTTGATGGTGCACTGCATTCTGGGACTCGCATTGCGAGTTATTACGACTGCGTTAATATCATTAGGACCTGACCAAGTATTCTACGTGCCATTGATGTGTCTCTTGTTCATGCGAGATGCGTTATTTTCATTGCCCCGTGGCGTCTGGAAATCCTGACCTATATCCCCTCGTGTTGTTCTTTGCAAACTCCCGTTACTTAAACTTGATTCGAAGCTTTCGTGACTGCAGGAATCACTCGTTGGGTCGTTCCCGTTACTTGTTTTTCACTTTGCCTCGACCTTTGCTCATTGAATCGGGTTATCTTGATCGGACCGCAGCGAGAGACAAAATCAGGCTGAGGTCTCATTTGCATTAACCCGTACAACCGACGGTGCGTTTCTTTTGTACGTATATGGACATTTGGAATTGTATAGGGCGAGGTTGAGAGAGAGAATCTAGGACAAACCCAGTCTGTGACCTGGTACGTCACGTGTTCAGCGAAGGGGGCCGTTTGGTTCCATCTTCGCTTGTGGACTCCCCTTTATAAGAAGTTTGGCCTTTTTCAATGTCTCCCGAGTTTCGCTCTTTTTGCGCGGTGGCAATCACCAAACCCTACCATCGCAGCTATTATAAAGTTAAATCGCCAAATCGCCACAACGCAATAAAATGACAAATACCAGTACAACACAAATGGTGTCACTTCCCATAATAGTTTGCGACTTTCGTGTAATTTAGTGGAAATGGACCGTCACAATGTTCAGAAGGGAAATAGATTATCTGCAAGATGCTACTTTGTAAACTGGCAATGAATCTTGACTAGACACATTCACATTCCATTTTTCAACAAATAATGGTGACCTTTTAGCTTTGTGGTTATGGCGCAAAATACATGGCGCCTACCCTTAATAATGAATCATCTCATCACTTGGTTAAGCGTGCACAACTAGCCCCAGTTGTCGCCGGTAAACTACATTGCTGCTGGCAGACGAATGGATAAATTAAAGATAAATACTGCAACCCAAACCCTCCCGCATGCCGTTACCATCCCCATCTCTCAACTACCGCAGCTCTCCCCAAATCTATCATCTCCTGATGATCCAAATTGCCACCACCAGACTTCTAAAGCTATGAGAGACATCATCACCCACATTAATCTCATCTTCAAACTATCTCCCAGTTCAATCCCAGATAACCATCAAGTTCACTTGCACAATCATCAAGATCATCCATGGACTCTGCTTTTGCCTACCGCTCTCCTCTTCTCATCCACACTCGACTTCCCTCCACACACTCTGGGGGAGATGATCAAATTGAAATGATATTAAGTAGATTGTAAAGCATTCCAATGAAGCCAACATGGACTACAAAAATATGTGGTCTTGGGATCATGTTTATCCAATCTAGGTTAATAGGAAATTGTAAAATTAATGGAGAAAACATTGATTTGTGCTGATGCTTTGTTCAAACCACAGGACACTCTGATATGTTAGTCAAATACGACCACAAGTTACGTCAATTAGTTTCTCATGTGGCCGATTTAAAAAAAATAACCCCCACCCTTTTGATGGGGAGATGATGAAACCTTCGATAAGCACTATTGGCTATGCACGGTGTGACAAGTTCAGCATACCGTACAAACATTATGCAAATATTCGATAATGAATTCACTTATGTACTTTTGAAGCGTGCAGTGGCTTGAACGGACAACCTTCATATGCTTCCCAACGTACAAAGCTGTATTTTTAAATACATTTACAATGTTAAATTTTTTCATGGTGGTGAATCACAATGTTGTTTTTTTCTCTACACTCGGAACTAAAAATATACTTCCATGAAAGCGTCTTAAGGTGTGAATTTTCGCAAGCCGCCATAAGGCGCAATAATTATTACGGGGAAATGTGTTGCATTCAACGATGCCCCCCCCCCCTTCCATCTGCCGAGGCTGCTACAGACTCCATTTCAAAGACAGACATTCCAAATGGCTGCTCCCCTCATTATAATGTGGCAGGCAATTAAAATTAATCAAAAGCATCACCTTGCAAATGCGGCCCATTTTTCTGGGTCATTGCAGGCAACAGGTTCCTCCCCATCCTCTCGGCAGAATAGAATCATCCAAGCGGTGAGTAGGACAGAGGTTTGCGTTCACAGACTACATGTCAAAGACTTTTTTATATATATATATATAGGGAGGCATAGATAAAAGGTACTCCTGTTTGTCACAAAATGGGTAACACAACGTATCATACCATACTGGACATCTGGGAAAAACAGCTTCATAGCTCTTCGGATTCCTCCAGGCTAAAAAAAGATTCGATTATATATCGTCTGTTTGGCGATTATCTTTGCCCAATAGTTATGAAATAACAAAGCACAATCATTCTGGAATAGTATTAATGGCACGGGAACATTATCAGTCCAATTGACCATTGTATTATTTTGTTGTTAACCGAAAGCATGCGGGTTGTAAGCATTCCCGAGTGTAGAGTTTCAATGATTGCGAGACCTATGGAAGTCTTATATTCTGCGATCTGCAGTGAGACGTAACCTTTGTTTATACTAGAAGTATAGCATAGAACAAAATAATAAACTTATTAAGTGAAATTACAAACGTATGGGGAAACTGAAGTCGAGAAAAGCGTCATGTTGAAAAAGTTAATGTCGTATGGTGGGCAACGTTATAAACAGCACCACACTGTGTCAGCCACGATAACAAGAACAACTACGCCAATTAAGAAAAACCCTCACCCTACCCCTGTATGAAGTTGTGAAAAGTTCACCGACGTCCCGTGACCTAATTTTGAAAAGTAAATAACGTTCAACAGAAATTACATTTTTAAAACCTGCCGCCGGTCCCGTATGTTTACACCATCACGGACATATGAGAAGAGGGGAAAGAACTAAACAGCGGTGCTTTACATTCGCTCCCAGCCGTTCCTGGGTCGCAAAGCATGGTCAAAGCCATGAATTCTAAAGTGGAGCCAACGCA